TATGCCCAGCACATCGCGCCTCTGTCCACGCCCACGCAACATCTGAAAACAAAAGGCTTCCCTCGCCAGTACCACTACAAACAGTCGCCACTATCAGTAATAACGTTATTCCCCTTCACCTCCCTCCCCACCATCAATATACCTCAACCCGAAGCCTAGAATCTGTCCTGTTATCCCTTAAACCAGTCCTCCCGTTATACCCGGAACAGCTTCCGTTCACCTATCCTCACCCTGACTTCCGTTCACCCACTTCTAACCTTTCTCCCCGGTTCTACTCAGACTTTAGTATGCCACAGTTACAAACCTGTAACATCTGATCCGGAAGCAGACAGCTGCTTCCAAATAAATAAATATATAATAATATATAATATATATATATATAATATACATAATATATATAAAATATATATATATATATATAATAATAGATGCCTTTCCTCAGAGAGTCGTCACAAACAATGCGGACTGCATTCTTAAGGCAGACAAATGGAGATTGTACATATACACATGTACTAGAATTTTAAATTACACATACAGATGAAAACAAATAGTGATGTCGTACGCTAATGATGTTACAACGATACTAATGATGTTACAGCGATGAAATACCGAAGTGACTTACGAACAACAAATTGTGAACTGAAATCATGTACTAAGGGGAGTATTTTAACTCTTGTCAGAAATACCCGGAGGAGGTTCCGGGGGTCAACGACCCCCCGATGAGTCAGATTCATATTACTTATGATCTCTACTACTACGAGTTTTTTATTCTTTTATGTATTTCCATGCAAAAAACGAGTGAATCTACAACACGCAACAATAACAGCAACAACAGCAGAAACAACAACAACAATAACAATAAACAACACAGCAACAACAACAACAACAGCAAGCAACAACAACAGCAACAGCAAGCAAAAACAACAGCAACAAAATAAAACAACAATAACAGCAACAACAACAGAACAACAATAACAACAATAACAGCAACAACAACAAATAACATAACAAAGCAACAACAACAACAACAGCAGCAAACAACAACAGCATAACAGCAGCAACAACAACAGCAACAACAATAACACAACAACAATAACAGCAACAACAACAGCAACAACAAATACAACAAATAACAACAACAACAACAAAAACAATAAACAGCAACAACAACAATAACAGCAACAACAACTAACAGCAAACAACAAATAACACAACAATACAGCAACAAACACAAAAACAACAATAACAATAACAACAGCAACAACAACAAATAACCAGCACAAAACAACAACAATAACAGCAGCAAAACAAAAGATAATTCTCACGGCAAAATAAGAAAAATATAAAATCTTACGAAAAAAAAACAACAATAAAACAATAAACCTGCATCAGTCCGTAGCAAAAACAACAGCGCTAACAGCAAGTAAACCATAAAACAAAAGCAACGGCAGGAAAATAACAGCACCAACATGTAAATAAAATATATTTTTAAAACCAGTGAAGTAAAAAAAAAAACTTAAATAACCCAAAGCAAAAAAAAAAAAAAAAAAAAATCCCCAAAATAGATAACTTATAAAACAAGAACAGTGATGAAGTAACGACAAAAACAACAACAATGAAAGCCACGACAGTGACAAAAACACAGTAGACTAAAGAAACAATATTCACCATCACTCACTCCATAACCCCTTTTTTTTTTTTTTTAAGAAAAGCATAAATGGTTGTTATTGAGCCGCCTCACCACCACGTGTCTGTCTCTGAAACCACAGTTTGGTTCACCATGATTCACACTCCAACAGCACGTCAAATCCCATAGATCAGTCACAAGCACTGGACTCTCCCAACCCTTCCTGTGTACTTGTCGCGGTGCAGCCTGTGCAGTCATCGGGAGGAGAATCATGCAAGTCAACTGAAGGTATCCTGGAGGAGGAGGAAGAGGAAGAAGAGGAGGAGGAAGAGGAGGAAGAAGAGGGGAACCTCCTTCCATTAATCCTAATGCAGCCTTTTAATTAACTGAATTACAAAGTTCTTTGTAATTATCTTTATTTGTAGACTTTCACCATCCGTGGCTTTAGTAATACAAGAACATAATGTGTAGAATGTACAATTATATATTATACACTCATTACTTCAGATTCTTGAGGACTACGTTGCTCTTCACTAACTCTAAGACTGAGGGACTGATTATCTCATCTTTCATATACAGCTCTAGTCTTATTATATTCGTACTGATAAATCCACTGGATGGCGGAACGTCTACAATAAAGACACCCAGATGTTACACATGTGTCTAATTCTTCATCTTGTCGGTATTGTGTACTATTTATGTACAATTATTTCTCTGTAATCAACCCATTACAATATCCTCTCCTGATGGGTAAATTATACCCCATTATTCCAATATATTACCATATTTATTTCATTTTTTTTGGGTGGAGGATGATTGACGTCTCTCTTGATAGACCCATCATTGCTGCAACATCCACTCCCAAGCCTATGCATGCCTGTAATTGAAAAATTATACACTTGTGCAACATTTGGGAATATTAGGGAAACGTTCCGCCAGTCAGTGGCTTCTTCAGTCGATTGTAGAGAAGAACGGTAGAAGCTGAGGAGTTTGAGGCAAGGCAGTCAGTCCCTCAGCCTGAAGTCGACGTGCTCAGTCCATGGACTAAACACATCGACTCCCTTTCCTTCCCCTTCCTTTCCCTTCCTTTCCCTCCCTTTTTTCCCTTCCTTCCCTCCCTTTTTTCCCTTCCTTTCGCTTCCTTCGTTGCCACAGCCGGGTGGGGTAACAGAACCTTGTAACATCGGGAGCAACAGGTTGGGGCAGCCGGCTGGCCGGTGGGGCAACAGAACCTTGTAACAGTAACGGGAGCAACAGGTTGGGGCAGCCGGCTGGCCGGGTGGGGCAACAGAACCTTGTAACAGTAACGGGAGCAACAGGTTGGGGCAGCCGGCTGGCCGGGTGGGGCAACAGAACCTTGAAACAGTAACGGGAGCAACAGGTTGGGGCAGCCGGCTGGCCGGGTGGGGCAACAGAACCTTGAAACAGTAACGGGAGCAACAGGTGGGGCAGCTGTGCTGGCCGGAGGGGCAACAGACTTGAACAGTAACGGGAACAACAGACCTTGTGTGGCAGTGAAGGTCGTCACTGAACTGAAGGAAAAAACGAAAAAATATTGACAATTGCCCATCCAGCCACCTAGGCAGCCAGGCAGCCATCCAGCCACCTAGGCAGCCAGGCAGCCATCCAGCCACCTAGGCAGCCAGGCAGCCATCCAGCCACCTAGGCAGCCAGGCAGCCACAGGCAGCCAGCGCCACCTAGGCAGCAGCCAGCCATCAGCCACTGCAGCCAGGCACACCTAGGCAGCCAGCCAGCCATCCAGCCACCTAGGCAGCCAGGCAGCCACCTAGGCAGCCAGCCAGCCATCCAGCCACCTAGGCAGCCAGGCAGCCACCTAGGCAGCCAGCCAGCCATCCAGCCACCTAGGCAGCCAGGCAGCCACCTAGGCAGCCAGCCAGCCATCCAGCCACCTAGGCAGCCAGGCAGCCATCCAGCCACCTAGGCAGCCAGCCAGCCATCCAGCCACCTAGGCAGCCAGCAGCCACCTAGGCAGCCACAGCCACAGCCACTAGGCACCAGGCAGCCACCTAGGCAGCCAGCCAGCCATCCAGCCACCTAGGCAGCCAGGCAGCCATCCAGCCACCTAGGCAGCCAGCCAGCCATCCAGCCACCTAGGCAGCCAGCCAGCCATCCAGCCACCTAGGCAGCCAGGCAGCCATCCAGTCACCTAGACAGCCAGGCAGCCATCCAGTCACCTAGACAGCCAGGCAGCCATCCAGTCACCTAGACAGCCAGCAGCTCCATCCTAGGCAGCCAGGCAAGCCATCCAGTCACCTAGGCAGCCAGCCAGCCATCCAGCCACCTAGACAGCCAGGCAGCCATCCAGTCACCTAGACAGCCAGGCAGCCATCCAGTCACCTAAGCAGCCAGGCACCATCCACACCTAGCAGCCAGGCAGCCATCCAGTCACCTAGGACAGCAGGCAGCATCCAGCACCTAGGCAGCAGGCAGCCATCCAGCACCTAGGCAGCCAGGCAGCCATCCGTCACTAGACAGCCAGGCAGCCATCCAGTCACCTAGGCAGCCAGCAGCCACCAGCACCTAGACAGCCAGGCAGCCATCCAGCCACCTAGGCAGCCAGGCAGCATCCAGTCCTAGGCAGCCAGCCAGCCATCCAGCCACCTAGAGCGCCAGCCAGCCATCCAGCCACCTAGACAGCCAGGCAGCCATCCAGTCACCTAGGCAGCCAGGCCACAGCCCACCTAGGCAGCCAGGCAACCACCCAGCCACCTAGGCAGCCAGGCAGCCAGCCCCACCTAGGCAGCCAGGCAGCCATCCAGCCACCTAGGCAGCCAGGCAGCCATCCAGCCACTAGGCAGCCAGGCAGCCAGCCAGCCACCTAGGCACCAGGCAGCCAGCAGCCACCTAGGCAGCTCCAGCCACCACATCCAGCCACCTAGGCAGCCAGGCAGCATCCAGCCCTAGCAGCCAGCAGCCATCCAGCCACCTAGGCAGCCAGGCAGCCATCCACCACCAGGCATCCAGGCAGCCATCCTAGGCCACCTAGGCAGCCATCCAGCCATCCAGCCATCCAGCACTAGGCAGCCAGGCCCATCCAGCCACCTAGGCAGCCAGCCAGCCATCCAGCCACCTAGGCAGCCAGCAGCCAGCCATCCAGCACCTAGGCAGCCAGCCAGCCATCCAGCCACCTAGGCAGCCAGGCAGCCATCCAGCCACCTAGGCCAGCCAGGCAGCCATCAGCCACCTAGGCAGCCATCCAGCCACCTAGGCAGCCAGGCAGCCATCAGCCACCTAGGCACCATGGCAGCATCCAGCCACCAGGCAGCCATCCAGCCACCTAGGCAGCCAGCCAGGCAGCCATCCAGCCACCTAGGCAGCCAGCCAGGCAGCCATCCAGCCACCTAGGCAGCC